ACAAATTTAATTTGCAATATGTTGCATTAAGTTGTAAATATAGTTTGTGGTTTTCAAACCCATTCAAGTATGCATCCTTGTCAAATCCAAGTGTCTTGCCAAATTTGGAAACTTGCGAACACTGGGCTCAATCAAATCTAGCCTCGAGTCTTTTCAGCAATCTCGCGGGGTTGTTGGTCGTAAAAAGTTGTTTGGAAATGTCATTAAAACGCCAATAAACAGTGAGCCTTACATTGTTCTGATAACCTCAACAATAGAATTGAATCTCGTTATAGGATTTGTCAATTACTTTTTCAAGATACTTAAAACTGCTTGAATAGAAGCTATTAAGTGAACAGCTATCCTCCACATTTAAATGAGCCCGTATAATGGGAGCCAATTAAAGGGAAATGAATGCAGGAAGTTTCTTAAAAATGTGGATGTGCTACAGCAATTTGTTGATACAAAATCGGCTCCCAACATTCTTCACATAACTGAAGCATTCAAAGGGTTCAATTTAGTTGTAAAAGCTTGCTTTGTATTTATCCTTCAGCTGGATTTTGCTGAAACAATTGAAAATTTCAAAAGGTATTATTCAATGAAAACTGGTGCAAGCGTAATACTTACGTAAAATTTACACCGTCTTCTACGACATCAAAGATTTTTTTACACATGAGTCGCAAAGGATCACTTTTGGGGCCCTATAGTGAACAAGCTGTCGAAACTGCTCATTAAGACTTTTATAAACATTGGTCAAGGTATAAACAAAAAAATAATCATCTAGAGTATAAAAAAAGTTGCATAACTGATTTGAAAAGTATTTTTAAAGAACTGCTACAATATTTCGATTTATTAGATTGGGAAGCATATAATCACAACTTACAATTTATAATGAACATTTTAATCCTTAAATGCTGTTTGTAATTTTAATATTGTAAAAATATTGAAGAGTATTTGAATAAACCCAGTGGGTACCGGACCGTAAAAAGACGTCTTATAAACGTTCAAAAGACGTTCAAAAGACGTCCAAAACGTGTATAAGACGGTTAAAAGACGTCTTTTTTTACGTCCATTATAGTATGAGATTATTACTCCCGCGTTTTTTTTACTCCCCAGTAAAAATCTCATGCTAAATTTTTACTCCCCAGTAAAAATTTTATATTATTAATTTTTATTCCCATTATGAGATTTTTAAATTCCATAAAAATATTATGCGGCAAAACGTATTTTTGTAACAAACTCACGTTGTATTTTGAGAATAGCTTTCAACGTTTTAATTACTGCGGTTTCTTGAAAAGCAATAAGAAACGAATCTTTTAATACAGTGGTTTTCATACTTCTAAAAATTAAATTATGCATACTGAATTTACCGACGTTTATAATTTTTTAAAAAGGAGCATATATTCAAAGACAGCTATTAGCAAAGTCGAACTTTCGAAGAAAAACAAAACCATTTGTAATTGAAGATAATGAGCTCTATCATCTGGGTAAATCTAGCGTTAAGGTAAACAGTTTATATAATTAGAGTTTTTTATACTAGTGTGGTTTGTGATAAATACATACATTTTTATGAATACGTTTATGTATCACGTTTTACATAATAACGTATTACATAATAATATCATGTTTTAATAATGTATCATGTAATAATAATACATAATATATAATAATATCATGGTTTACATAATTACATAATAAAAAGCTTGTACTTTACTAATATAATACTGCCGTGATAAGGAAAAACACAGTAACTGTAAAAATATCCAGTTTGCACTCTTTTAATAAATATATATATTTTATAATAGCATTTTTAATTTTTTTTTTAGAGAAAAGTTATTTGGTACAAAGAAGAGCAACACCATATAATTAAGTCTGTTTATGATGGTAATGATATTTCTAATGAGGCTACTTAGTGGGCACCGGACCAAAAAAAGACGTCTTTTGAACGTTCAAAAGACGTCTAAAACATTTAAAAGACGTTCAAAAAACTTCTGAAACGTATATAAGACGTTTATTTATGTCCAGGCCCACTGGGTAACGCATTATCTGGCCACATAAGCATCAATTCAACAGAGCATATTAAAAAGAGATTTTTTTGGTTTGGTATGGTAAAAGACATTACAGCCTGTGTTTCAGAATGTGATAATTATCAAAAAGCAAAAAACAAGAAACTTCAAGTTAAACCATTGTTACAAAGCATATCGATTCCAAAACTCTTCAACGCATGACGAATGCATCCACAAGCAAATGGTTTAGTAGAACGTCAAAATCAATCAATAAAACGAACATTGGTTAAGGTGCTAGAAGATGCTGCTCTTGAATGGCCATTTGTTATTGACGGTGCTTTGTTTTCAATGCGAATTAGAAAACACTTATCAACTGGATTTTCACCCTTGGAATTACTTTATCAAAGAGAACATGTTCTGCCGATTGATATAGATCAGAACCTAATTGACTATAATGATTATGCTCTGATTGAAGACAATTAATGCTACTCTGGTTGAACCTAATGATAATGCTACTCTGGTTGAAAACGATTTCCATAACAAAAAAGCAATTTTGGAAAAATTCAATAAAATGAATGAAATGAAGAAGTGTATTTTTGATAAAGCTTACGAAAACATCCAAAAGTCACAAATAAGGCAAAAACGCGGCTATGACAAAAGAGTTAACCCAAACAATAGTATTGCTATAGGAACAAAGGTTTTATTGCGAAATCATAAACGTAATGGCAGAAAATGTGGAAAGCTTGTGAAGCCATGAATAGGACCATACACGGTAACTAGTATTTCAAGTACAAATAACTGTAGTTTAAAGAATGAAAAAAACGTAATATTGAAAAAAAAAGTACAATCTAACAATTTTTCCTTATAAGAAGAAAAATCACTAAGTAATGGCAGCATTCAAATAGAAGAAATTAACAAATTATCAAATGATGATGATATCAAAACTGAACCAGTTATCAAAGACGTTGAATCAAGCAAGTCATATATAAGTACTTAACATGAAAGCTGTGTAAATGTTTTAGGCAAAGCAATAGCAAAAAGGGCAACTTTTGATATAAAAAAATTAATTACAGAAAAGCTTGCAATTGTTTGGAAACACAATGTAAGAAGCATAAACCTAACACTTTGTCCTCAGGGACTCTATAGAATTAAAGGAGATAGAAAATGCTTTTTTAGAGCATTTTCTTTTATCATAACAGGAGGTGAAGATTAGCATAAGCAAATTAAAGACAAGGTTGTTAACTATATGTGTAACCAAATACACGATGAAACGACTGGATATTTGAATATGCCAATTCAAACGCATATTTATAAAACTAGAATGCTTGAAGATGCGACATTGGCAACTGGTGCGGAGATAATTGGATGTGCTTCATTTATGGAAGTAGATATTCAAGTATACAGCAAATATGGAGCGAAAACAAAATGGATGATCTACCCATGCAGTTTACGGCTTAATAAGTTAAGTGACTATTCTATATTTTTAGATAATTCAACTGGATTCCACTTTGATGTTGTGATTAAAATCTAGTCCATATACATATGTATTTCTTTTACGAGTTTTAAATATTGCTGTTTAATTTCAATTATTGTATTTTCTTTTCTTGTACTATGTGAGTTTATATATTAAACGCAGCAATTTGTTTGAAAACGGAAGTGATATAGTTAGGCTGTCTAAATAAAAAAACAATTTTAATAAAGTTATGTGGTGCAAATTTAAAATTGTATTTCATTACATATTGTCTTACAAATCGTTATCTGAAAACTGCCCCTTCCCTATTTTCAACCCCAAAAAAATTTATTTTATTTCGCAATGGTGTTTGAATCTGCTGCTACACCTTTAAAAAAAATTTGAAAATATTCTTTAACATTACCTTCATAAAAACACATGTTTACATGAAAAAAAATCTATAAAGTGACGTCCTTTTCTGACAACCTTCCCCCCCCCTCTCTTCTCTCATCCTTTTTAGCTCGACCTCCTCTCCCCCACCCCTATTTGAACAACGTCCACTATGGATGGCCCCTTACTACATGATCTGGATAAGCTTTTGTTTTTTCATTTAAACACTACAATATTTAAAAATAATGTTCATATTAAACGGAATCGTTTCTTTATTGCTATTTAAAAACAACTGTCTTTCAAACCACACCCACGCTGAACCAGATTTTAGTTTGATGAAATGACATAGGGTTGTGTCATACCTTTTTGAAATTGTTAGAACCATACCATTAAGGGAAAGTTAGTAAAAAAAATCATAAAACTAATCTTTAAAAAATATTTGGGTTTATACTGGGGTCAAAACGGTTCCCGAACTTTGGCCCCCCTCTGGTTGATTATGAGACTAACCCGAGGGGGGAAAGCAACTGTTTTATATTTTGTTAAATAATATAACTAGTTATTAGTTGCCCCTTCTAGATGGTCTAAAAAACATCCCGAGGGGCACCAAAGTTCATCACCTATTTTGACCCGTGTGTATATAATCATTATTAAACTTTATAAATAAGTTTATAAAGAACGAATAATATATTTTACTTAAAACAAAATGTTAAAAGTCACTTTGTCAATCTAGTCAAATATGTTTTCATTGAAAAAATAAAATAAAAAAGAATACAAATATTGCACAGTAGGTTTATACTGAACAATAGTTTTATACTGAACAATACAAAACAGACCGCAACTCATCATTACCACATATGTAATCAAACTTCTTAATTCTGCATATTTTCATTTTGTTTTAACTTTAAAAATTGAAGTATAATAAACAACGCTTGTAAATAATGTTAAATGGTATTTAATAAGGAACCCATATACTATAATAGTCAGCATTTATATAAATACACTATACAAATATAACATAATATAATACAAATATAATTATATTTGTATTATATTATGTTATATTTGTATAGTGTGTTTGAAACATTTTTTAAAGAATTATTATATGGTATATAAATCTTTATATTTTAGGTATAATAAAAAGTGTGTTCTTAAATTGTTTTATTTTTCCAGATAGAATGAGTTTATTTAAACCAACCTGTACTCATGAGGAAAACAGGAGAAAAGTGTATTTATATTGTGCCAAAAAAAACAAATAAACCTAACGATATCAATGTACCGTGGATTAAAAATTTAGTGAATTTTAAATACAACATTAAAAATTCATTCTATCCTAAAGCTATTTGAGAATCTTGCAAAAGCAGTATAAGAAGAGGAAAAGAGCTTTACACGTAAAGTGGAATAAAATGAAAATACCAGTTCAAACTAGAAGTGTTTTTGTATGTAAATGCTAAATATGTATAATTGGATCTACTCAAGGAAGACCTAAAAAATTCAAAAGGGGACGTATATGTAACGCGCAACCTCCATTTAATAGTCTAACTTGTCAAACTTGCTTTTTAATTATTAGCAAAGGAATTACCCACAAAAGTTCTTTAGCTGTACTTAAATGTAATATAATACAAAAGCTTGCAAATAATGTCAAGACAATTGAGCAAATAGCTTATTCTTTAATAAAAGACAAAATAGACAAAAAGGGTAAAGCGATACTTGCTACTGGTGGTAAAAAAGTAAGTTTTACAATTAAGAGAAACCATGATACTAGTAATATACAACAACTGTCTATAAACAGTATGATTGACATACAATCAACTTTAGAATTAAGTGACACAAAAATTTTAAAGCTAGCAAAAGAATAACGATTCAAAGCACAAAACAGAAAAAATGTACAATCAGGGTTAGCAGCAGAGCTCAAACGTATTGACCAGCAACTTGATGATTGCTTTGTTGAGGATTTTGAACTTTTTAATATTAAATCTGTAGAGGAAAAAAGTTTGTTTAAACTCCATTTATCAGAACAACAGATGTCAATGAGTTTCTGTGGCAAATAATAGATAAAAAAAGGAGCCTATCCTCAAAACCAGTATATACAAGTTTCCATTTACGGAGGTCGGGGATTTCTTAAGGTAATTTGATTTTATAATGTGCCACTTTTTTTTTCTTATTAAAAATAATAAGTGTAATTTATTATAAAATATTCAGGTTTGCTTAAATATTGTATCAAATCCTAGTGAAACAATTAAAAATAAAAGGAGAAAATATGGAGAAATTAAATCACCAAATTTCAAGGAAGGATCTGTGAAAGCATCATTTATTATAGCACTGGTACCAGATGCACCAGAGACAAACCATAATGTTAAAATTCTGCTTAACAAACTCTGTTTGGATAAAATAAACTTTACTTATGTGGCAGATATCAAACTCTGTCAAGTCAAGTATGGTATGTCTCCAAGTTCCATGGCAACTAATCCGTGTTATATTTGTACATGTAACAAAACAGAGGTTTTTAAAAATAATTGCACTGAGCTACGAACACATGGGTCAATAAAATTTAGCCGTAAATTGTATAAATTGAGCGGATCAAAGAAAATTAGAGCAAAAGAATGTTTTAACTGTATTGATGAAGTTCTTTTAATTGGTGATGATAATGATCTAGTTGTTAATCATCTTTCTCCTCCAGAACTTCATTTGATGAATGGGGCAACAAACCATATCTTTAAAACAATAAACAAATTAGCTGATCTAGTACTATTAAAAAAGATCGAAAATGACTTAAATATTTCTAAATCAATAAGAAATGGGTCATATAATGGTAATAGTTGTCAAAAAATATTAAAAAATTGGGTGAATTACTATAACTTGTTTCCAGTCCTATTAAAACCAATGGCTGAAGCGTTCAGGCTTCTGGATAACCATGTTCACTTATGTTTTGGTGTAAATTTATAGCCAACATTTGAAAAGGACATCAGGTTATTTAAGAATCATTATTCAACCTTAGTGGAAGATTATGAAATGACAGTTACTGTGAAGTTACATATCATATTTCAACATGTAGGTCCTTTTTGTAAAGATAAGGACATTGAATTGGGTTTCTTTAGTGAACAAGCAGGGGAAGGTCTTCACTACTCATTTCTAAAGGAAGCATGGGAACGTTTCAAAGTGTCTGATAACCATCAAAAGTATGCAAAGTATTTGAAAAAAGCAGTAGTTAGTTTCAATGGAAAACATTTAAATAATGTTTAATAAATATTTTCTAAAAATAATATTTTTTTTTCCCTTTTAATTTTAAGAAGAAAAAAGTACCTTGCATTGGCACCCCTCAGACTGTTTTTAAGACCGATCTGAGAGGGACATATATCGACTAGTCATATTTTCTGACAAAATGTACAATAATTGCATGCACCCCTGTGGTGGGTCTTGATATAAGTTAAAGGGGCGCCTAAGTCCGGGACCCTATTTTACCCCTGCGTAAACCCAACTACTTTTTAAAGATTAGTTTTATGATTTTTTTCACTAACTTTCCTGGAATGGTATGGTTCTAACAATTTCAAAAAGGTATGACACAACCTTTTTAAATTTTTACTGGGGAGTAAAAATTTAATATGGGATTTTTACTAGGGAGTAAAAAAAAACGCGGGAGTAATAATCTCATACTACACCGTGTCCACTGGAAAAAAGAATATTAGGCTATTTTGAATAAATTTCTTGTCGAGAAAATCCAAGACCATGTCTTGACAATTTGATGGTAATATAATGTAAAAAATAGGGTTTATATAGCTAATTTTTCAATTTTCTTTGAAAGGTAATTTATTTAAGAAGGTTTCAGGAGCCAAAAAAAACTAACAAATTATAAACTGCCATAAATCTTTAACCAGTAAGCCGATCCAACTCAAATTTTATCCAAAGTTTGATTTGACTCCATGCTACATTTGTACTAATTTTTATCAAACTATATTTATTGGTTCTCATTCTACAGGTATTTTTTTTGTCGTAGTTTACTTAATTTGATTATTCAAATTAAATTATTTTTCGCGAACGAAACTAAAAGATTCAAAATTTGCATAACAGGGTACTTTGATATGTACGCCATCACCCCATATAAGTGGCGTTCTTGGGAATGCTAGTTATCAGAATCCGTACCAACCACAAACATTCTCCTCTTAATAAGTATAAGTAAACAAAAAGATTATTTGCTAGTAGTTGTAGCTTTTTTTCCATTTCTTGAGGAATTTTTTTTTCATTCTTCTAATCTGAGAAATATTCTATTGTCTAAATGTCTTTGTAATAATTAAAATAATTCAAGCACCGAACAAAATACTTACTTAAAAGTAGCATTTATGAACTTGAAATTTCATGGGTTTTGAATTACTATAGTTAGGATTCTATAATATAAAAAAATTTTAATAAATTTAATAGCATAGTTCACAGTAAGATTTTTAGCGGAAATGTTGTTCAAACTAGTGATTTTTTAAACTATTAACCGACTAACAATTATTTCTTTATACCTAAACTTTAATAAATTTCCTTTATTTTTTAGCCTCTTTTTATCGACTGTGTATAAATGAATTGTTTTTGGAAAATAAATGGTATTGATATCTTAAACTTGTACAAGCTCATAATTTATGTTTTGTCACAGTTTCTACTTAAAAAGATAGCATTAAAAAATGAAGAATAACGGTTTCAATGTGATTTAAATGTTTATTAAACAAATACTCTGAAATAATAAAAAAAATTTTAAAAATAAAATATATTTGTTCTTAACTCTATAAAAAAAGCTAAACGGTAGATTTTAAATTAAATTCTCTAAAACAGTGTTGATAAACGGCGTAAATCTTCTTGCCTCCACTTTTCTTCATGCAATTATTTTTCATTACATCCGCCGGCGAGAGGCAAATATTTCCGCATCCAATTTGACGGCCGCAGCCAGTTAGGAGGCAGAAGCCACTGGAAGCGGCCTCTAAATGGCTTTGCTTTAAAAAATTTTTCTGGAGGCGGCCACCATTGGCTTCCGCCACTCTATTGGCGTCGGCCTCCAAAACATTTTGCCTCCAAAAAAGAACTCCGGCTGCGGCCGCCAATAGAAAAGCGGAAGCCACTGGATGCGGAAGAAAGAACATTTTGCCGCTAAAAATTGATCGGGAGGCCGCCGTCAACAGCTTCCGCCTCCTTAAAAAGTCGGTTTTTCGGCAGAAAGTTACTTTGCCGCCGGGCGGCATTATCAACTCTGCTCTAAAATATATTATCAATAAAAGCATAATTACGAAAAATTAAACGTAGTTAATCGTTTTTAAGTGTATTCGTTTAGACTGCCATATGCATTTTTAAAATCATAAGATTAGTACCATACTAGCATAACTTTTTTCAATTTTAGCGCAGTAGAAGAGCATATGAAAGGAAGTTCACGCTACCTCTGAACAAGTTATAAAACTTGCTCAGAGGTAACGTTGAACCACGAATTTCTAGCTTCTAATTCAAGTGCGCTAATCTGCTTTAAGCAGTGTAATCCATTGGTCATTTTATATCATACCTTAGGCGGTTTGATCAATTGGTTTTAAATGATGCGTTTGAAATTTTTTTAAATTTATCACAAATATTTATCGCAAAAATATTTTTTAGTAAATGATAAATTCTGACTTATTAATATGTTATGAGATTCTTACCATTTTCAAATCTTCCTGAACGGTTTTGTAACACTTTATTTTATTTTTTTTAGACCCACTGTGGTATCAAGTATAAACATTTTTTAAAATATTTTCGGTACGGAGATTTAAAACTAAAATTTGTGAGAGAAATAACATAAATTAGATCAAAATTTAAAGAAAAAATTTAACGTTCATCCAAAAATATTTTTGCGTTCTAAAATGGTGTACTTAAAATTGTAAAAATAACAATAACAGTTGGTGTTAGGGTTTTTAAATCACCTAAAATTGACTTTGACAAAATTAAACGATTTAAAACGTACTCGTAAGATCTAAATGCTTCCATAAAGAGGTTTTTTGGTCCTTTTAGATAAATTTTACAGGTGCGTGCTGCAATCTCTGAGAGTATAATCACTAAAAATATATCCTTTATAAAAATATATTCCTTAAAAAAAAATAATTTTATAAACAATTAATGTATGCTACAAAAAAAAAAAACGAAAAAAAAAAAGTGAAACTGAAAATATTAACTACAATCATATATACTCATAAGAAAATTGTAAACAATTCAAAATAATAAATGTATACTTAATTATTTTTGCTTAGGCTAACGAATTAAATCAACCTTCGTTATTGTTATGTTGTATAAAACAGGCGTATATCATAACTAATGTGTAGCATAATTTTTATATATTTAAAACAATTTACATTTAAATATTATATATAAGAATATATATATATATATATATATATATATATATATATATATATATATATATATATATATATATATATATATATATATATATATATATAAATATATATATATATTCTATATATTAGAAGGAACATAACTTATCAAGATGAAACCAGAAACTCGACTGATTTTTATATCGACAATTAATTTTTAAAAGAGCTCTTCTTATTGAGACAAGATTTTTTTCCTGTAAGTCTTTCTTCTGTTTTGCTTTTAAAAGTTTCCTCTGTGCTTTTATCATTTGTCGAATTCTCATTTTCTTGGAGGTTTTATACGATTTACTCAAACCACTCTGAAAAAATATGTTTTTTTTCATAAAACGTCTTAAACTGTAGTTATTTATTTTCTGTTGACGAACTGACAACTTCAATCGATTGATGTCATACACAGTCAAGCCAGCTGCAAATAAACCTTCTTTTTTACTCCAGTTCAAGTTATTTCTGCATAAATTTATGGTTTGCTGAATTACTGTTGGACTCAACTTTTCTAAAACAATTTGAAAAGATTTTAGATTTAAACTATTAGAGAGTTTTTTAAATTGGCGTTCACTTACACTTTTAGGATGTTGAGCAGAAAATTCTTGCTGGTTGGGTTGGTGAACTTTAATTAATGTCGGTATTACAGGCTTATGAACAAAACTTTCAAGTCGCTTATTTGAAGCTATTTTCCTTCTCCTTCTTCTGGAAAGATCAACCCTAGACTCATTTTCATCTTCAGACAAATTTTCCTGAAAAATGTCATTTTTAAAGTTACTAATGACCGATGTTTCAATATTGTTCTCTTTAAAGTTGCTTTCCAGAAGATTTTGATAATTCATTGCTTTTTTAGAACATTCTTTGTCAACTTCTTCACTCTCAGAAGATATGTGAATTACTCGACATGCTTCATCATCAGAGCTGTAATCAGAAACTGTTATAGTAGTAACATCACTATCTGACAATTCAATTTTCTCAACATAGTCTTCAATTATTTGCTCGAAATTATTTTGGTTTAGGCTTATATTTGAACTATAATCTACTGGGAACGACACATTTGACTTTGGAGATAACTTTGGAAGCAATTTTGGTCGAAAGATCTTGGGTTTTAAAAATTTTGTTGACTTTTTATGATTTATTGGTAAAACATTTTCATAACTGTTAAAAATATTGTTTTGATAGCATAATGAGTCTTTATTTAACAAGCAACTATTGTGCAGATATAAAGATGGATTATTTTGATGGGGCGATAAATCTTTATTAAATGAGCAACTATTACAGAGAAATGGATGATTTGAATTTGCGATTGAATTTTGGTACCCATTTTCTAAACTACAAACTGTGGCACAGTTTTCTATTAATTGTTGTTGTTCAGTGACTGGTGAATGCTTGGTAAATAGTGGATGTGAGCAAGTATGAAAAGGTGAAAATGCTTTTGTAGCATTAGTTAAACCATTTTGTTTACTTATCTTTTCAGATAAAATTTCGTTACTTTCACAACAAACATTTTGTAGGTCGCTTAAAGATTTAGATTCAACATTATTGCCAAGTTCTTCAATATTTGAATTAATTGTGTTTAATTTATTATTAAATGAACAATCAAAATGTGTTTTATCAAAGCTCCTTTTTTTGTTTGAATTAAAGTTTAAAATTGAGGCAAATGGTTCATTTAAAACATGTGTATTGTGTTCATTTATTATTAACTTTGAATTATTAGCATCTAAAGATACAGGATTAATACAAGGAGAAACACTAGTTGATTTTGAACTGTTTTTGCGTTCATTAATAGTAAAAGCCTTGGCCTCTTTAAAAGAACTTGAAGTAGCTACTAAATCTTTTTTTTTTTCAGTGTTAACTATGTTTAATCTTTTACTTTCTTTATTTCTCTCCACTTCTATATTTTCAAGGTCAGTTTGGGTTCCACGGGAACAAATATTCATAGTAGT